CAGGGGGGAACTCCCCCCGGCCGCGTCCTTCGTACTGATGCCAGGCACACTCGGTGGCCCAGCATGATGCCACCACGGGCCACCACCCCAGCAAGGGGATGGCGCGGACCTTCCGCACGGGAGTGTGCTGCTGCTGTCTACCCCGACGGTGGCGTGGGGGTCTCCAGCTGTGTCCTGCACCCACGTCTCGTCCCTGAGACCCTTATGGTGGCATGAGGGTGCCCAGCTGTGCCTGGCGCCTGCATGTCGCTCCTGGGACCTTGACGCTGGTGTGGGGGTCCCTGCTGCGCCCTGCACCGTCCCTTCAAGCCTGACGATGGCATGGAGGTCGCCGCTGTGCCTGGTGCCCACATGCCACCCTGGGGACCCCTGTGCTGCTGGGGGGACCTGTCTGCGCCCGGCACCCAGAACTCATTGCCGGCATGACGATGATGCCATGGGGGTCCCCACTGTGCCTGGACCCGCTTCTCACCCCTGGGGGTGCCAGTGATGGCAGGGGGGCCCCCGCTGTGCCCAGCACCCATGTCACATCCCTGGGACCCCAACGATGGCACGGAGTCCCTGCTGCACTTGCTCGCCCATCCCCAAATGCGAGGCTGGTGGCAGCTGCCCATGCCAGGGTGTCGATGTCCCCAGGTGGGGGTGGCACTGCAGGGCCACAGGGTGCAGGGCAGGGATGGCTCTGGAGGGGGCTGGAGGGGGCCTCCCCGCCGCGGCGGGTCAGGGGTGCCGGGGTGCACCCAGCCCGGGGGGCAGCTCTGCAGTGGGGCGGTAGCTGCGGGGCCCCGAAGCGCCCAGCACTCGCGGGTGCCCCGCGCGCCCTCACGCCACCGCGTCTCGCTCCGCAGGGGGAGGGTTTACACCAGCTCCGTGAGGCGCTGAAGATCCTAGCAGAGAGGGTTCTCATCCTGGAAACCATGATCGGGCTCTACGGTGAGTAGGGAGCCGCAGCCCCCGCGGCCACTATCGCCATGGCGTGACACCATCGCTGGCGCCAGCGGTCAAGCTGTGACGCCGGGTCCTGCTTGCAGGGCCAGGGGACCCTCTGGTGGCACAGGGTCATGGGGGCAGCCCACAAATGCCTCTGCCTGTCTCCACGCTGGGGACACCAGGTGCCACCAGGGCAGCTTGGGGACACAACGCCCCCATGCCCAGCGCTGCACGGGGTCCATGTGTGGTGGGGCAGGAGAGTGGGGGGAGCCCTGTGTCCCTCAGGGGGACATCTGCAGCCCATGGGGACACCCCCAAGGAGGCACCGTGGGGGACAGGAGCGAGGGAGGCCCCGG